GCCCGCCATTCTTCTATCAATGGCGATTCTGCAACATCTCTGCATTAACATAATCACCCTCAATTCATACTAGTTTTAATTCTTCTCCTTTGTTTCCCTTGTTCTTGCATTTGTCTACAGATATTTTAGTTGGTTTAGGGGTGAAATATTGGAACAGCCTTCCGAGGGAAACGGTGGGGGCGAAGGACCTGTCTGGTTTTAAGATTAAGCTAGATACGTTTATGGAGGGAATGGTTTAATGGAAAAACATGATTTTAGTCAAAGGAACAGCATGCCATGGCAGGTAAATAGTATAATGGCTAACGAGGGTCAGGCTGGAGACTCTTGCCTACATGCTCGGGGTCTTACTGATCGCCATATTTGGGGTCGGGAAGGAATTTTCCTCCAGGGTAGATTGGCTGAGGCTCTGGAGGTTTTTCGCCTTCCTCCGCAGCATGGGGCAGGGATCGCTAGCAGGAGGATTCTCTGCCAATTGAAGTCTCTAAGCCACAGGATTTGGGGACTTCAACAGCAGAGTCAAGGGAAAGGGTAGGGATGGCTTTGTGGCCTGCATCATGCAGGGGGTCAGACCAGATGATCATAATGGTCCCTTCTGACCTTAAAGTCTATGAGTCTATGAGTCTATTCCTCATATTTTCTTCATATCATTTCCATCATCTGCCTTTCTTTGTGGTCCTGATTCTCTTCTTGCACACAGGCACAACAGAATTATTTTACCGTAAAATTAGCATAAGGTGACCCAAGCACAGAATCAGTATGGTAACAAACTGATTTTAGCATAACAACATTAGCCACTTCTATTCTGAAAACCTGGCCTATGAAGGAAGGTTAATGAAACTGGGCATGTTTAGTCTTGAAAAAAGAAGACTGAGGGGGGAACCTAATAACAGACTTCAAATATGTTAAGGGCTGTTATAAAGAGGATGGTGATCAATTGTTCTCCATGCCCACTGAAGATAGGACAAGAAATAATTGGATCAATCTACAGCAGAGGAGATTTCGGTTAGATACTAGGAAATCTTTCTAACTGTAAGGATAGTTAAGCACTGGAATAGTCTTCCAAGGGAGGATATGGAATCTCTGTCATTGGAGGTTTTTAAAAACAGGAGGGACAAACACCTGCCAGGGATGGCATAAATGTACTTAGTGCTGCCTTAGGGCAGTGGGCTGGCCAAATGACTTTGGAGGTCCCTTCCAGCCTTACATCCTATGAAATATGAGTCCATACATACGCGCCGAGTTTCTAATGTGCCAAGGGGTGCTCCCCGCTGGCTCTGCCCCAGAGGGCTGCCCAGTGGGGGTGGCAAGTGGGGCAATTTACCCCAGGCCCCGGGCCC